ACCTGGCTAATTTTTGTATTTTTAGTAGAGACAGGGTTTCACAATGTTGGCCAGGCTGGTCTCAAACTCCTGACCTCGTGCTCCACCTGCCTTGGCCTCCCAAAGTGCTGGGATTACAGGCGTGAGCACCACGCCTGGTCAAAACTTTTTTTTTTTTTTTTTTTTAAGTCAGCCAGGCATGGTGGCACATGCCTGTAGTCCCAGCTACTCAAAAAAAATTTAGCTCGTCATGGTGGTGCGCCTGTAATCCCAGTTACCTGGGAGCCTGAGGCAACAGAATTGCTTGAACCTGGGAGACAGAGGTCCCACCAGGGCGGGAGGACTGCTTGTGCGCAGGAATCTGAGGTGGCAGTGAGTTATGATAATGCCACTGACTCCAGCCTGGGTGACAAAGTAAGACCCATCTCTTAAAAAAAAAAAAGGGGTAATAATACTTCCATGGCACGCTTATTTAGAGAACTTAATGAAATACTGTACAGAAGTACCTAGCTCAGGGACTGATACATGATAGATACTCAGGAGACGTGATTTTCCCCTGCCGTGGATGGGGAACAATAAAGCAGAGTATCACTTTATATGATTATATTATGTGGCCAGGGAAGCTCTCTTTACCAAGGTGACAGAAGGGAGTGCGAAAGGCACACAGCCGAGTACAGCGTGTTCCCAGTTAAGAAAAGAGCAGCTGCGAAGACCCTTAGGCACGAGTGCTTGGTTTGTTTGAGGAACAACAAGGATGTCAGTGTGACTACAGCACACTGGGTTGAAGGACAGCAGGAGGACCTGAGGTCAGAGAGCTTGGGAGTGGGATGGAGGTGGGGTTAGATCTAATGGAGGGCACTGTAGGACACTGTTAAAACTTTGGCCTCTACTCTAAGTGATAAGAGCAATCATCAGAAGGTTCTGAACTAAGAAATGACACGATTTTACTGATATTTTAAAAACAGACTGAAGAGTAGAAGGGGAAAGGAACCAGAGCAACCAGTCAGAAGGCATTTCAGCGAACTGAACCGGGGTGCAGGGGGAAGAGAGAATTGTACCTGTACGTGTTTTGAAGGTAAAGAAGACATTAACTGCCAGTGGATTAGATATGGAAGTGTGAGAAAGAAGTGCCAAGAATAACCCCAAGCATTTTGACATGAGCAGCCCAAAAATCAAAGCTGCCATTTACCAAGATGGGAAAGGGTAAAGGAAGACCAGGATGGTGGGTAGCGGGTGGGGCAGGATTCAGGAGTTTGGATTTGGACATGTCAGATTTGACATACCTGTTTCACAGTCCCTGAAGTGGAGACCTACCTTAGTCTCACTGAGCCGCAACTGCCGCCTAGGTAGCCTGTGGATCATTACGTTCTCACTGAGCCGCAACTGCTGCCTCGGTAGCCTGTGGATCATTACGTTCTCACTGAGCCGCAACTGCCGCCTAGGTAGCCTGTGGATCACTACGTTCTCACTGAGCCGCAACTGCCGCCTAGGTAGCCTGTGGATCACTACATAGGCTGAGGGCTGGTGTGCTGGCTGTGTGCTCTCCTCGAGCCAGAACACATACGTGGTATCTGACACTAGAGCTAGGAGAGCTGATGTAGATGGGGCGTGGGAAGAGTCTGAAGCTGGTTAGTACTCTTCTACTCGGCACCTGTCCCACACTAAAAGACAGCTTCAATAGCCAACTCCCAAAAGCATCCTCTGGAATCAAGACCACCTTGTGATTACAAAAGAAGAGTATGAGGATCCTCCGGCCCAAGCCACATCATCCAGCCTCTCTTCTAACTGAACATCTCCCACACGTACAAAACAACTTGTTAGCTGTCCGCAGCCTCACGTACTACAAATCCCCATTATCTGCCCATTCTGAGACTAGAACAGCAGAATTTCACTCTAAGTTTTTGTTGGAAAGGCATAAAATAAGTATTCCTCTTGGGAAAGAAGGGTTCTCTGATTCCCAAGATATAGTAGCCATTAAATGCATCCAAAGAGTATGAGTTTTTGATATATCAATGTCCAGAACCCTAATCTACTTACAGCAATTTAACCAAAGGGAATATATGCTCAAATTCTGCTACAAGAAACTGATTCACTGTTTATAACTGTAAAAAAATTGGGAACATTCTCTTGATTCAATAAAGCAAAGATGGGTTAAAGAAATCTTGGAATATAAAAGAATTCTGGGTAACTATAAAAAATGATTCCATATAAGAAGATACTAAAAACATGAGGAAAAAAAGCAGATTACAAATAGTATATACAGCTGGGCATGTTAGCTCACACCTATAATCCTAGCACTCTGGGAGGCTGAGGCAGGTAAATCGCTTGAGCTCAGGAGTTAGAGACCAGCCTGGCAACATGGCGAAACCCCATCTCTATTCAAAAATACAAATATTAGCTAGGTATGGAGGTGGGTGCCTGCAGTCCTAGCTATGCGGGAGGCTGAGGTAGGAGGACTGCTTGAGCCTGGGAGGCGGAGGTTGCAGCGAGCTGAGATTGTGCCACCACACTCCAGCCTGGGCAACAGAGTGAGACCCTATCTAAAAAAACAAAAAGAAAGAAAAACAAATAGTATATATTAATATTAATATAACCTCCAGTTTTACTGAAAAGAGTGTGTGTGTGTGTATACTAGAAATTAAATATGATTATATATGATCAGCAAAATAACAGTGCTCTTACTTCTGGGTAGAAAGAAGGATTACGGATAATTTTTCTTCTTTTTATTTGCGTGTGTTTTCCAAATTTCCTACGGTGAACAAATACTCTTTTATACTAAAAACAGTTTGTTTGTTTGTTTGTTTGTTTGTTTTTAGAGACAGGCTTCTCATGTTGCCTGGGATGGTCTCAAACTCCTGGGCTCAAGCGATCCTCCCGTCTCCGCCTCTCAAAGTGCTGGGATGAAAGGTGTGAGCCACTGCAACAGGCCAAGACTTTATATTCTATATAAAGCCTCTCATATTTGTGGTTCATGTTTGGAACTTTTACTTTTTTTTTTTTTTTAACATCTCCCTATGTCCCTAGTATATACTTCATCTAGGTCAAAAGACTTTCTCCTGAGAAGACATTTGCGGAACCTCCCTGAAGGCCTGTCCCTCAAGGGACGTGATGCTCACTGCTCTGCAGAGAAGTCAGTCATAGGGTCTTCCTGCCTCCACACAGCACTTCGCTCCCGAGCTCGGTGGCTACTATGTCCCTAGCCTGTTATTACACGTGGGAAAGGTGAGGCCGACTGGACTGCCCTACTCTTTACCTGGCTGAAAACCCAACTGTTAAGCAGAGACTAAGAGCTCCACAGTCCCCATCAGCAACAGGGAATCGGCTTTGTTTTCTATAAACAGACAGGCAAGAAAAACATTCAGGTTAAAACACAGTCCTCAGAGGAAGGAAAATAGAAACCAGGCAGCGGGGAATGCTTCATATTCCTACAAGTTTTTTTTCTAAGTGAACACATGGTGTCTGCTTCTCTCTAGTCACCTATTTATCACTCTCCTCCTTAGAGAAGGGAAAAAGCCCTGGCTGTTTTCCTAGTGCAGAGTTTTGTGGTGGGGTGGGGGGGGGGAGGAAGGGGGGAGAAAGGAGGGTGCTTTGAGCATGATGCAAACCATTTGGAGCTGAGTGAGAGCACTGCCAACACAAGCTGCACTATTTAAACAAGTGAGGAAATGATCGTATATACAACATGCCAGCGAGCACACACACACACCAAAGGAAGTCGAGAGGGCTTTTTTTTTTCAGGACACAGAGCTGGATGTCAGCGGCTAAAAGGTCGATATTTTCCCTTAACACCCTTCTCAATGACTTAATCATGTTCCATTTGCACAGAAAACTTCCCAAGAATAAAAAAGTCTGGAGAATTAAGAGGAGGGGCAAATGGGGAGGGATGTTTGGCCTGGGGCTGACCTTATCCGAGGTTTTCTCCACGTAGCAGGGGTCCTGAGGGGCAGCCAGCAAGGGGACAAAGCCCGAGAGAAGCCGATCCTCTTCCAGGATAAGAAGGGTGAGGTCATCATCCGGGTCCTTGTACAGTGGCACCTCAGACTGATTCACTGCAGTCAGTATGTTACAGAAATCAGCCAGCGTCGACCACACATCCACAGCAACACTGTGAGAAACAAGGTAAGAAAAGAGCAGCTCTAAAGAGGAGCCAGTAAAAAAAAAGAATTCTCAGTACTTGCGAGCAGGGAAGTACTTGCAGCAAATGTTGTCTAGGCTGGCATCTGCCAGGAAATCATACCCCAAATGGGAGGAAACAAAACTGTGCCCAAGGCAGCAATCTAAGGTATGTGTATGTGAAGCTACACAAAGTGGAAATTGATTAGGGGGAGTTTGTAATCCTCACCAGAGAGGAAAAAGAATTTAGAGAATCAGTTGCCTAATGCAGGGCCCTGTCATCTTTCCAGACAGTGTGCCTGAGACGCTCACTCAAACACTCTAGACAGCCAGTGCCTGAGGCTGCTCCCAGAATTCCCCACCGCTGTCCAGCCAAGTATATGCCATACTGAGCACCAGCCTCTCCTCCCCTAGCCACAGCCATGGCGGGTCTAGTCACAATACAGCAAGAGTCATGCAGGTTTTCCTCCTACAATGCTTTAGAAATCTCTTCCCTACACATAGGCAGGCAATCAGGCAATCAATCAATCAATCAATCAATCAATCAAACAAAAACCTCATTCCTGGCCCATCAAGATCCTCACAGGAAGGTAAAGCCTCTTACACACTTCATTAGCGCTGTCTCAGCCATTCCATGCCTCTCTTTTCTCTCATGTGTGGAAGGTTAGATACAGGGTGACCAACCATTCTGGTTTGTGTGGGACTGTCCCGGTTTTAGCACTGAACATCCCCAGAAACCCCCCAGTCCTGGGCAAACTGGGACGGCTGGCTTAACTGTGTATCACCAGGTCCTGGTTGAACCTGAGAAGAAACCTTGAAACTGCGAAGTCTGGCTCTCCCTAATTAAAATTTCAGGGTAGAATTATAAAAAAAGAGGTTCACTTCTCTGTCACCATCACTTGTCAAAAATCGACTGTGGGCCAGAGTCCTGCTTTGGTGGGTGTTGAGGATCCATAAGGCTTTTTTTTTTTTTTTGCCTACCCAGGGATACTCCAAATTGTGGTAAAGACATAAGGCCAGCCAAGGCTACAGACGTGGCTTTCTTCTCCAGGGAAGCACCTAACTAGGAGTCTGGAACAGATAGTGTCCTATGGATGCTGAGTTTTACTCTAAAAGAAGAGCGATCCATAGGAGAATTACAAAGACAAGCTTCACAATTAGATTCACGAGCTAGAGTGGCAAGAGGCAATATGTAAAAAGAGCTGTACGAATCATCCTGGGCTGGGTGTGGTGGGCCACGCCTGTAATCCCAGTACTTTGGGAACATGGGAAGGGAGGATCACTTGAGGCCAGGAGTTCAAGACCAGACTGGGCAACACAGTGAGACCCTCTCACTAAAAAGAACCAAGAAGAATCATCCTGGAATCTCCCCAGTGGAGTTCCTGCCTATGAGTCCTGCTAGGGAGGGGTCTCAGATCTAAGCAACTTGTTTCTCTTGGAGACTAAGAATCTTCGGGGGATGGCAGAAAAGAAAGCATTCGAGGCACATGCCACTGAAGGTGACAGTGGGGAAGAAAGTGGAGCAGAGGGGTGGGAACTCCCTGACTGGCTCCAGGTGGAAGGAGGCTGCACTGGTTTATTTACTGTAATCATTGCACTAGGAAAAGGCAATGAAATGAAACATCTTGTTTTCAAGAGTGTCCTGGGAACCAGGCAGAACACAGCCCCATTAATCACACAACGGCACATAATCAACACACGTGTACTGCAGAAGTAACTCGCTTCACAGGCTTTACCCAGGAAAAAGAACATGTTTGGGAAGAATCACCGGAGGGACGAGTTTTCGAAAGCCTCTCTCAGCGCAGACACCGACAACCAGACTCATTCACAAAGCTCCATCTTTTGGCTCAGCCGGGTTTGGCTGTCAGAAATGTTTAAATATGGAAAAAAATAAACAGTTGCAACACGTTTCTGTGCAGAGATCTGCCTGAGCTCCTTTGTGATGTAATGGGAAACGCGGCATTCAGGCTACCAGCTGTAGAATAAACAGAACTTCGAGGGTTAAAAGGAACTGAACTTTCCACGACCCCATCTGCAGAGAAGAAAATAATAAGAGGAATGATGCACTGCCCCACAGCCCTGATAGTTTATCCTCCGGTCCCGGCTGCAGAGACAAGCACCGGATGTGATAGGCCTGCTCAGGGCCGCCTCCGAGGTTAGTGCTGCCCATGGGAGACGCACAGGGAGGCTCTTCCAGTTCCCCGCTTCCTCCCCCAGTGCCCTGCTGGCCACTTGAGCCCACTGCCTGAGTCTGATCCCACAGCACTGGTGAGCTTTGGCCAACAGGCACTGCTCGGCTGCAGAGCAGCAATTTGGAAAATAAACAGGAAAGACGACAGTGAGAAGGAAGAAGGTGAAAAGTCTCCCAGCTGAATTTTTGGCTTGGGGGCCCTGGTTGGTGCTGTGCAGGTCAAGGCTGCTGCAGGACATAGCTGGGGGTTGGGGGTGGTGTGGGCAGCAGCATCCCCAGTCAGAGAGAGGCGGCTGAAAATTACCCACGGCTGCCACAGTGGGAGGCCCCACATCCCTCTCTCATCCTCCCACCCCTACCATCTTGGATCCAAGATGAAGAAATATGTGGTACCATGTGGTTCTCATTACCATGCTCTCCTGTCCCCTGAGGCTCAGATAAACCAAACCTGACTCCTCCCAGAGACTGTTGGCCACCACTAGGGACCCCTGCCCACATATGCCTTTTTGCCCATTACCACCCACCTTGTACCAAAACCTTAAGACTCACTGCAAAAATAAGGTGGCTGAGAATCCCTACCTCAATGTTGATTTGTAAGACAGCAGCTGATGCCAAAAGACGTAGGGAGTGCCCAGAGTTCCCAACTCAGAAATATAAATAAAAGTGGTCCAAGAGCCAAGCTAGACTGTGCAGAACCCAGGAAATACACAAAGTCTTCAATGAGAGGTCATTTCTGCTCTGGTTAATTCCGATTGGTCTTGTACTCTGGTTGTGAGTAGCTGCCTTCTTCTGCTGTTTCAGTGGGATCACCCAAACTCAGTTCACATTCATGTCATCAGTTATCTCCTTTCATCAAACACCACAGACGTGAACACAACTGCCCAGAGACCCACGGGCTACACAGTGACTCTCTACAGGAGTGCGGGAGTGTCAGGAAACTCAAAGGAAGAGGTGCTTTGGAAAACCAGGTGAGATGTCTGAACTCAAAAGTTAAGATATTTGTAAAAGGATGAGGTAATTCCTGGAAGCTGGGCAACATCACCTCAGCTTACCCCAATCAGGCCTCTGGGCTGGGAGGTCAGTTCTGTGGGTGAACATAGGATTTCCTGTCTGTAGAAGGAGAAAAGTTTAACGTTTTCCTGCTTTAATTCCTCATCCCGACCAGGAGCACCTTCTAACCTTCACCCGACAACAGTCCTTCGACCCTATGGATTCAAGGTTGGCCTGGGCCAAGGAGCCAACAGTCAAATTCGGGTGGGGTGAGGATCTGTAAAGAGCTGCCACTCTTTTGGAAATGCTTGGGAAATAACTTCCCAAAAGGTTTCCCAAATAATCTCAAACAACTTTTGATTCTAAATGGACCCTCTAGAGTGCTGTGGGCTCAGGCAGGTCCTTCTGGTTTGTTCTGGTTCAATGTACATTTTGGGGAAATTCCCAGAGCCCACAATATCCCACTAAAGTTAGGGCGGATTCTTCCCCAAACAGACACAAAGCAGCCAGAGAATATGAAACTGGGTCCAATGAGCCTGTTTATGGCTCCCAGAATGATGGCCAGGGAGTCTCTCAGCAGCTGTGATGTGATTAGTGAGCAGGGATCAGCAGTTGCAAGGTGACCCACTGGCCCAACCCCACAGAACACACCACACACCAGGACAGCAGACCCCTGGCTGGAGTCTGAAAGCCAGATCCTAGTTTGGGACAAACCAGCAGTGACTAGTTACAAGTACGCACTCAGAACCAAGGCTCACTTGCTTCCCTACAGACATGCATTCACTTAGTCCACCAGGAAAGGAAAAAAATAAGAGTTAATTTACTTTTTATTGCCTCAGAATTCCAAGGTTTAATGTATCTGTCAGTTTGAGTGCAGTGCAGCTGCTGGCCGATACAATGCAGCCCAGGCCAGCCCAGGTGACTGGGGAAACACATTTCACAGAAACAAACCAACACACACTCCTGGCTGGTTGTTTGGGGGATATGGACTCGGGGAATCAGATTAACCCTTCAGGCTGAGGTGAGTTCTGCAAATAGCCATAGAAAGGTAGCTGAAGTCCAGGCAACTGAGAAGCCCTGCTCTCAGACGGGCCATGGGTTTCTGTGTTCCTAAAATGTGGCTTTTCTCACAGGAGAGGTTATCCAACTGCAGCATCCCCTGACAGATTAAGGAATGCCAGGTGAGACACGTTAACTACAGTAATCTACCTTCTTGCCCAGAGCTCAGAAAGGGACTCTGCCAGCTTCACAGGGAAGGGGTCAGGCAGGACTTTTTCTGAAAGCTCCACTGGGGCAGGACTGAGAGGAGGAGAGAGTCTGAAAAGAGCGGAGCACGAACGCCTGACCAAGACTCAGTCCATCTTTCTGGCAAGTCTAAGGAGGACGAAGCACTCATACCCTCCTTCATATTTTACTGGGGGAACAAGCTGACTGGTGATTAATATCAAGTACAATGACCCCACGTTACAAGCCTGCTGGGGCCTGTGGAGGTGGCCATTTCCTGTGTAATACCAGCTTGTTTAAACACTAGCACTCAAACTCCACAGCTGCAGAACAAACCCGGAAAGAGCTGAGTGAGAAGAAGCCGTGCATTGTGTTTCAGAGCGATGGAAGATCAGAGAAGCAGCACAGATGGGAAACAAGTTGGGTCTTCTGGTTCCTGGAGTGAGGAGATCTGGAAATACAGCCAAGATGGCACCGAAGCTAGGCACGAGGAAGCCGAAAGAGAGGACACCCATGTGGTACAGACACAAAGAAGCCAACAAAGAGGACACCCATGTGGCACAGACACAAAGACAGACCAACAGCTG